TTTACATATGGTACTGGAAAAAACAAGATCAAACTCTGAAGTTCTTAACTATTACATATTTTTACATCAAAGATAGCATACAAAATATTTCAGCTTGACTGTCTTACTGAAACTTTGATCATTGGAAGTTGCACCGAAAGAATAGCATTTACTATTATAAATAGTAACATGAAGGAAAAGAAACAATAATTACAGATAGATGCTGTATAAAGCAATTAAATATACTGTACGCAAATTTTAGCATTCACCTTCTTGATGTCACATTCATCTAGGTGATTTTGTATAAACTGAACACTGGCTGTAAAGTCTGCCGAGTTAAATTCATAAGGAATATTCCAACCCAAAGGTCCAAACTTGCGTCTTTCCTTAGGAATACAATTAAAACCAAATATGTTTATGAAACAACATGTAATTTTGTTTTATTATTAAAGTTTACTAATAATAATAATTGTGGAGTAAAGAATTGAACTGATGAAGAAAGCTAGCCTAGGAAACAGCTGTGTGCCTCATAAACATCAGTAAAAATGAAAGTTTATTAAGTTACACCATGAGGGATAAATATTTATAGAAAAAGCAACAGAATCATTTATTGCTACCTTTACTAATCAATGTATCAGACGTAGGTTTGAAATGTCTCATGTCTGTGTGGATGATCAAATTTTTACTAAGTAATTAATTTAAAGAATTACTGAATCTCTGCATTTTCAGCACAGTCAATAATTCCAAGTTCTATGGTTTTTCATTTTTTTCCTTCATATGTGGTCTACTAAGGGTAGTTTCAATTTTTCAAGCTCCTGTATTAATGGTCAGTTATCCAAAGGCTTCTAGGCTGCCCCTTTTTTCTTACTGTTTCACTGTACTGTTTTAACATACATTTTTCCAAGTTCACAACTTTATTTTAAGGCTGCCATCACTACATTATTTGAATTTATTATTGCATATATATTTGAAAATAAAATTATAATGCTTGCAGTAAGAGAAAAATAGTTGACTATAAAAGTAAGAGAATATAATCTGCAGCGCAAACATTTTAAATATCCAATGCTATTAGATTTTTCACAACTTTATTTTAACCACCTCAGTTATATCACTCAATGATTTTGTTCAGAACGTAGAATAAATTAATCCAAGAAGTTAAGAATTAAATAGCTGAATAGTGCGGACATTAAATGAATAAACAGTGTAATACTGACATTTGAATATTAACTAAGTGATAACATATTTATTAGAGTTTAAATTACCAGGTCAACAATGACTGACAGTATTTGATATCTAGTTAAGTAACATTTAGGTACCTTAGCTACAATATTTAAAAAGAACTAGAACTGGAAAAAACCTCCTCACTTTTATTTTTTTCAAAATCAGGTATTGTTTATAAGCAGATGAGACAGCATTAACCAATAATACCCTGCAGAAAGGTATAATGATTATCTGCCAAATTCTCTGAATTACTTCTTAAGCTATATATATCATAGCAATCTTGTCACCAAAGGATGTTAGGAATTGGTCAGTTTAAAGGCAGGGCAATGTATATATTTCTTGCTGATTGGCAATCCATAAATAAAATTTCTGAACAGAAGAATAGCTATAATATTTTTTAAAAGTACTGATGGTTGAGTAAGCTTAGGTCTTCTAGTTCCACAAGAACAGTATAATGCTGAGGCAGTACACAGAACAACTTTCTCACTGTTTACAAAAAGGTAGAAGGAGGAAAATAATGCAGAATACTGTATCTTAGTAGGGATCTCAACAAATTGTCTTTCACCATCTTTGCTACACTGAAAACACGAGTGGCTCAGTAGAGCCTAAGGCTTAAATAACATTTTAGAACTATTTTGAGATCCTTGCTGAAAAGAAGGTATATTCAGAGAGCTCAGCGTGTTGGTATTTATTGTGATGTCAAAACTTACATATCTTTAAAGTACAAAGTATAGATACTGTGCTCACATTGGAATTAATGCAGAAGACACATCGACACAGATAAAAATAAGATAAAAACAGGATGCTAAGTGATAGAATTTTGTTAATTTTAGCCATCTAGAAAGTAGACAGCTATGCTACGCTAGGCATCTGGATTGCCTTTAAAATCAGTGGAAGGAGTGATACATATCCAAAAAATTACAGAGAGAGCACCAAGACAGATAAGATTATTTTCTTTTTCAAGGTGCTGATCTATTTCTATTGACTACAGAGAGAGCTTTTCCCCTTACACTGAAGAACCAACTTTTGGACAGGTAAAATTACATGAGAAAAATTCTCATTCTAAATGCTTATAGTATGAAAATTGTGTAAAATTTATAAAACAATTAAGAGAATAAAGAACCTTGAAATGCAGATTATACCAATTAAAGCTTCAGCCCTGCAATAGGATGCTACAATAAATATCAGAATGTGTATTGTCTGGGACCTCTGTTCCAGTAAGTCCATATATTATACCACTATTTGCAAACCTTGTAAGAAATACCTGAACAGTAGAATGCAGGAAAGCTACAGCGTAAAGCAAAGGCTTCCACATAGGCATATTGCTAACATCTAACAGATCCTGATTAATTCCAGAAAACGTTCTTTTCAAACTGGCACGTACACCTTGGGGAGGTTCATTCGTGAACTTTATAGCAATCTGTCATGTGAAAAAGATAAAGGCATTGGATTTGTTTGCTGAATAAAACCAGCAATATACAAAAATATCATAATATTAGTTATAAATAACATGTCAATAGTTGAAGCATTGTAGATACAAAGTTGATATGTAGTTTTACTATAAACCACATAAAAGGAGTACATATGAGATTAGGGCACCAATCTCTATAATATACATTACTTTAAGATTTTGAACATAGACCTTCAGTTTGTGTTGGTCAGAACCATCACTGGCACTTATCCATGGATCTAAGCGTTTTCATCAACAACCTGGAAGCAAGTGCCATGCTTTTCAGAAGGCATCATATGGTTCTCTATCCCTAATTCAATGACTGAATGACGGAACTATCCAGAGTAGATGACAAGAACTTGGTTGTATTTCTGGTCCCAGGACTTCACAGTAAATACGAAGAAATCTCACCTCAGATCAGATCTTTGTGTTCACAGTGGCTACTCTGGACTCTGTGGCTATGTCCGCAGCAATAAATTAGATTCACCTGAGAATGTTCCTGGGCACTCTGGTCAGCAGCCATGAAATCCAAATTTGTGGTAGAAAACTGCCACAGCCCCTCAGAATACAGCCCCTTAGTTTCATATGAACTGCCTAATGGAAATAGTTTCTACAAAATTTTAATTGTCAAACCATGCCTGCAAATTATTTGAAAGAGTGCTAGTTAGCACAGGTTTTCACGTTGGAGAAAGTACTTACCCTTATGGACTACTGCATTCCAGTGCTGGGTAATGTTCATGGGCACACCTGAATCTCTTAGTTCAGAGACAGACTGGCCTTACCAGAATCTGTATGCCTTTCAAATGCTGGAGGAACCCAAATAAAAAAAGTATTCTTCTGCTCCAAGAGTAAGTACTTGTCTGGCTGGCTTGACAGCATGTATTGAAGGGATATTAAATGCCAGGCTGCCCACAGGCTGAAAGCAAGCATGGCTCTCAACTGTTTCTACTTCTGAGACACTTAATGGAAGATACTGATGAGTATGTACTTCACCTGGCAATTTTACTATCTCCATATTTGTGATCAAGAACTTCAATTATTTTTAAGGAATGACTTTTCAGCTTCAGTCTCACAAACATATTGCTGGACTCCAGAGCCCAGGCAAGCTGTCTCAGAGATGAGTCCCAGCCTTCTGCAAGGACCTACCTACACATGAACACACTAGAGTGTTGGACTGAATGGGCACACTTGCTAACCAGTCTTTCCATGTTTCAAAGGATATCTTGTTCAGTTTTTGATGAATGTTTTGTATAAAACCCCTAAATTATTCTCTCTTTTCTTGTGAGAAAGAGCTGACCTTTGATTTGTCAGTTATTCGTTTCCTGGAATCCCTGAATATGTTAATATTTTAACAGATAATGTGACACTATAGACTGGGAAATCACATGTGAAACATTTGAGATAAGTGCTGTGAAGATTCATCTAGCAATCCTCTCAGCTTTCTATTCTCACTTCTAGGAAACTGTATATTTATATACCCCACTATTCATAAACCTGTTTAAGATGCAGGATGATTTCATTTTCTGTTGAGAGAATACAAGAGAATGTAGGTCCATACGGCTAGCTTTCTATACTTTTTCCACGGTGACATGCATTTCTTACTGAAGGTTGTCTCCTAGGTTCATTCAAGAAAGGAACCCTTCCCCTTCTTTACATCCTAGATATCAGGTGTGTTATCTATTTTTCTTTAGAGAGAATGAAAACCCCTAAGGAGACTCACACTGCTTTTAAGAGAAAAGGGGTCTGTGAACACAGAATTGTCAACACACAGCTGTTACACAAGATATTAACGAGCATTATGACCTGCTGTGAGAGTGCTAGGAACCATCATAAGTGACTTAAATGCACTGCGTAAGAGTTTAGTCAATTTTCCTGGTGCTGATGAAAAATGTCTCCTTGACATCTACAGAACAACCATTTATAGTTTATCCAAAGAAAAACAAGTAACTTCTTGGTAGATGATGTTCTTTGACATGTGCTGTCCATGTGTGTTCTGTCCCCTTTATCCTTTATTTCAGATAGGGAAATCTGGAAGGGTCCAAGAGCAGTTGTGGGCATTACTTTGTTCACAAAGGCACCTGGTTGGGCAAAAAGGGATACAAGTAAAGCCCGATAATTTTGATTCAAGTGTTTCTGTGTACAGAATTAGTGTGAATTCACACATACATAATGCATCTTCGAGACCTTCCAGTTACCGGTAAGTAACATTCCTGTTTAAAGTGATATTTGCATTGAAAGGTAAGATCGTTTTTCTTGGGCTTTGTCATCTCCCCCACCCCGCCACCCCCATTTACTTAATTTCCATTTACACACTTAATTTGAATAATTTTGATGGCACGAGGTACCTGAATTAAATATTTGAACAAACCTGTAACAGTGTAATTGGGAACTTAGGATGTGGTTCAGTAGTTATCCAAACTCGAAACGTCTCATTCTGTATCTCAGCAGTAAAAAGTGTCTCCAGTAGTTCATCCATAAAATCCAGTCCAAGATGACAATTCTGAAGTAACACCCAGCCTCCCTAAATAAGAATATCAACAATTACCATATAAAATTTAGAACAAGTTATTCATAGTGCTAAATCTGTCTATATCAGAATCAAATCTGGTCTTGCACGTTTGGGTTTTTTTGGTTGTGAGCTGTTTTTTGTTTGTTTTTTTTTTGTTTTTTTTTTTAATTATTATTATTAGGGTTGGTTTGGGTTTTGGTTTGTTTGTTGTGGGTTTTTGTTTTTTTATTTTTCTACTTTTGGTCTGTTCCTGAATATGTGTTACTGTTTGATTTTGTATTGGCATAGTTAAAGCAAATAGGAAAAGTTAGTGCAAAAGCTATTTCCAAATCCTATTGTTCACAATGAAAATAATATAACCAGAGCCAATATTCTAAGTAAAGTATCAGTGCTACCTAGTGGCAAAAAGAAGTAATTCCTGTCCTCTCCCAACAAAACACCAGCGGTAAACAATCCTGCCATCAGTTCCAAAAGATTGTGAATGGAAAAAAAACAGGTGAAATCCAAGGAATACATCTTTTTTAAAACTTATTTGCTAATAACATAATCTAAAGTAAGTATAAAGAGGTGGTAACAAGACTCTAAAACTTTTCAACTGCAATTAGTTTATCTGCAATAAATGCATATGTATGAAATTCAGCCTCCGCATATTAATTTTGGTCTTATTCAGCTCTCAAGTTGCATGAAAGCTCTACTTTGATTATTATCTCTCCACACTTCTGCTTATGAATTTAAATTCAATCATCTTTCGTAGCATCACTTTAGAAGCCTGATGAATCAGAAGCCTGATATTAAAATGGGGCATTATTTAATCAGTTCTAAACAGTGATGTGTGGATTTCATTACAGCTTGTAATTTCATTTTGGCAATTTTGTTTCAGTTCATTTAAAAAGAAATAAATAACATTTGGTGACAAAATAAAATTGAAATATTTATAGTGAACTGATGGATATTAAAAAAAAAGAAAGATTAAATGAAGGGATTTTTTTCCTTCTGTTATGGGGAACCACTTTTTTGAGGAAGATCTTTAATCAGTTTGTCACATTTCAAAATGATCAGGCTCAGTTGTTTAAAATTATCTACCTGTAACACAGCACAGCAGTTTTAATCATATTATATAGTCTTGGCCAGAGGTAGGAAAAACCCCAGATATTTGTCTTCATATTCACTAATTTGGTTTTATTCTTGCAAATCTGATGTTCACATATCCTTCCCTCTGTAAAACGTGTACACCATCAAGGCATTTAGTTCAGAAATTGTTACTAGTAGCTCTACTGGAGTGCTGTTTTGAGTACCCTTCTGGTTTTAACTGAGGGCAAAGAAAGGCAGGCATGCCCCAGTTTTCACCATTCCAATGAACTGGGAGTTCATGATGACCATTCTAGACATACGAATATGAAGAAGTATGAGAGATGTATGTGTGCACTTGCATATCATAAAAATGCCATCTTCTATAAAGAGACTTATTTTTTCTTTTTTTTCCCCAAAGTGGTGTACATCTATATTCCAGTACCAGCATCACAACATTTGGTAGGACTTGAGAGGTTACTGGGATACAATATACAGAACTTCCATAACCAAGGCTGCATTAGCTAGAGAACCTTGGATTATACAGTAATGTCTAGCAAGTGTGCAGCAAAGGCCATATACAAGTATTATATTTGTCTGTAACAGGGAAACACAAATGAAGCAGACTGTACTATGGTCAAATGAATAAATATCATCTGGCAAGAGTTGGGTTTTTTTTTTTTCCCCTCAAATGAAGATATCTCACAGATAGCAGGCAACACAATCGGAATTCCCTGAACTGATATTGCCTGACATTTTCTTTTTTCTGCATGAAAGACAGGAACTCCTGGAAAGACTCTGAAGCACTTCTGTCTATCAGAATAAGAGGATGGGACTTTGCAGTAGAAAGAAGCATTTCCTTGTCTCATTGTGATTAAACATTGGAGAATAAAGTGACAAAAGAGCTATTTAGTTCAGAATGAAATCTGAAATAATCTTGACAGTGAAGCTGCAACTGTCTCAACAGTACATTTGTTCTTGCAGTGTGTTCTGTGTTGTGATCTTATTTTCACCGTTTGTCCTTCCAGAACTCTCATGGGTGAGAACAGAGACCCAGGGAATCTAATGGATGCCATATATTGTGAGGAGTTCAGTTTTAAATCTCATAACAAATCCATCTTTAACTTTTTATCTAACTTTTGATGAATACTCCCACTGTAGGTATGAAAGCATACACTGGTTAACAAATAGGTAATGTGGTACCAATCAAACCTTTCACTCAACACAAGTCAGTTAAGGTTTCTGTAGGTGAATATTACAAGCGGTGCTAGAGTCCTGATTTAGTAAGGACTGTCGGTTATGATCAGCTGAAAAATACGTTTCATTTATCAATATAGTTCTTGCAGTCTTCTACTCTCTATTAGTAGAGATAGTCTAGTCCTTCATAATACTGGAATAAGACTAATTCCTGACATTTGGAGTTTACAGGCAACTCTGGCTGTCTGTCTTCATTTGCACTGCCCACAACTCTTTGAAGTGTCCAGCTGACCAGACTCTGCTACCTTTACACTGTAACTTCTATATTGTATTTGAGGTGTCAATTGCCTTCTTTCTGGAGATGCTGCTTAGACTTCTCATGTTTTTACTGTTTGGGAATATCATTTGCCATAACAAAATACACTACAATATTTAAGAGAAAACTTCTTAAATATTGTTTGGAAATTCTTAGACATCCTGAGACTTGATGCCAAAAGGATTGGCAATCAAAGAAACAAAACCAAAAGCAATTGCTGGTGAGCAAGAGGCCCTCTCACCAGCACAGATGTGAGGAAAATGTGAGGCAATATTAAGAGCCAGCACAGCCTTCAGTATCTACAGCTTCAAGCTATGTGTGCACTCGTCATTTTATCTAGTAGAAACTATGCAACTTCTAGGTAGCTCTCATAGGGGAAGGGGAAAAAATATTAAAAAATAATGCCAGTAAAGAGGTGGGATCTGCAAATCCTGCAGGATAGAACTAGGACATGATGTCCTTTTACCATTGGATAACATCAATGTGATAAGAAGGTAATGTGCTACCTTCAAAAAGCTGCTCAATATTACTGCTGGCAGAAGTACTTGCACTCCACTGGCACATGCATATCCCACTGTGGAACGTTTTTAGGTTCAGACACTCAAGAAGACTTTTTTTTACCCTGAGATATGCCTGATTGATAGTAAGGTGAAAATGCAAACTATTAAAGATTGCGTGTAGAAGAGGTGTAAAAGAATGCTAAAACAGATAATGAATTTATATTGCAGGCTTTTTTTCCCCCACCTGTTGCATTGACATCTGTATGAATTTGCGTGCATGAACTTCTTGTCCTTGACCCATAGAGATGGTCCTACATTCTACAACATATTTGACAATATATGATTAACTTGCATTCTTCAGAAAAAGTAAGAATTCAAATTCAGTCCAAAAAAAAGTGTTATAAGTACAGCACAATTAAGTACATTTTTATACAAAAATTATACTTATGAATGTATAATCTCTCCACCATAATATGCTACTATTTATAAATTTTCTAAACATTGACACTTTGTTAAATAACATTAAAATATACATCCACAATATTTACACTATTTGTAGAAGTGAAAGACTGTGACTACTTTTATTATTGTCAATGGGAATTTGTGCTAAATTTTAATGAACCCACAGTATTTGAAATATGAACCCAGATTTTTCTTTAAGTCTAGGTAATAAAGGCAGGTAAATGAGCACAATGCATAATTGTAAAATTGCATTTGCAAACATATTAATGTGATTAATATAATGAATATAAGTATCTACATCCAACTAAGTTTGTATGCACAATTTTTCAAAATTTCTATATAATGGAAAATAAAGTCCGGAATATACAAATGTAGATCTTGTGGGTATTTTTTGTTACAAAATATCTTGTAAGTAGATTTTTACATTACCTGTAGTTAATAGTTAGAAAAGAAAACAGTACTGTCACCATGCCAGAATTTAAAAAAAAAATAAAATTGTCTTATAGTTAGGAATTAAAAAAATAACATCATTGAACAGGATGATAAAGATTTCTAAAAAAAACCAAACCCACGCTGAAAACATTATTGTCCAACTGCATACAGAATGATCTTCAGCATACCATCTTTTATTTAAAATATTATTTTATCTCTAAGATGATCATTCAGGAAAAATCAATAGTGCAATAGAATTTAAGAAATACTTTTCAGAAAAAAAAAATCTGAAATTACTTACATTACCCTGTTGTATCTAAACACATGCCAATAATTACTTCATACCTAATTTAAGCTTCCTAGCCAAGGAATCAATCTGAATAGTTGGGTCAGATCCCATAGACAAGAAACAGATGAGAGGTGTTCGTGTGTCACTTTCCTCCCAAGTTTTTTCTAAATTCAAAATGACTGGTTCTGTATACTTCTCATCCAAGGAATTTGCAATATATTTCCTGGCTTGGGAAAGCGTTCGGTCCGGACACCAAGACCTAGCAATAAAAATATATACCAAGATACAAATTTAATGCCTCTTCCTGTTGCAAAGACCAGACTTAAATTAGAAATTCTGTTTTTATCTAATAGAGATTTTTGCTTCATAATATGCATACATATATTTATATACACACATTCATCTATATGTTTGTAGGTTTGTCTTTACAGATATAATAATAGACAGTGCCAGTAGTCTTTATGACTGTGCAATACTTTTCAGTTGCTTACAATTTTGCCTTAAGTAAACTTTTTGCAGTGAAATTTTCTGTTCTGGGTACCTTTATCAGGTTGGGACATTCTTCATTGTAAACAGAGCTTTTGTATCTGAGGACTCAAGTAGGGAAATGGAAGATTGTTTATGCTATTTAGTAAAATTCTGCTGATATTTCATTGGGTCTGTTTGTACAGACGCAAGTCTTTGGCACTGGATTGTATTTCTGTTGTGGTTGAGTCTTTATTTTTCCCATGGGGAAAAAAAAAACCCAAACAACTACTTTTGGATAAAACATAAGATGTTGTAAAGCTTCACTTATTCTTATTATTTAAAGGCTTAGGACTTAGATGCTCTCCCTCCCACTTCAGAGTGTATAGCACAGAACAATATAGTACTCCTTCCATCAGATTCTGGCATATTTTTACTGCATGGGTTGAATCTGCTCCAAAGACAAATCATTGTCTAGTAATTAATGTTGTAGTGTTTTTTGTAGTCTCTCTGGTTTATTTGTTGCACCACTTGGAAAGTATACAATGAACTTAGGAAGATATGATCTCATGCATAAGGCAGCTGAATTCTGCTTTGGGGAACTCCATTCTATCCCAAGTCCTACTGCAGAGATCTTAGCTGATGCAATAAAATAATTTATACCATGCTTTTCACATGGGGCTTTTGAATACCTGTTTTGCACTTTCACAAATATCTCTTTTTTTTTTTTATTTACTTCTTTAGAGTTATTAAAAATAGTTCATTTTGAAAGAAATGAAAAAAAATTGAAAAATATATGAATTATTCTACTTTTTCAGTGGCTTTTTGGAGAAGGCTGCAATGTGGTCCCCAGTTTCCATTTGTCATGACATAAAAGCAAAACTATAAAAAATATTTTCTAGAAATAACTTTTTTAGACTCTTCAGAGGACAGCTCCGAAGTAGTGAATTGAATAATATTTCATGTCACCCAGAAATTAATAAAAATGATGCTGTTATGATAATAGCATACTGATAGATTGAGACATGTGATGCAGCCATGTATGCATTTTCCAGTTTTCTGGAGATGCTCACCTGATGAGTAAAAGCCTGCGAAAGGTATCAAGTGAATCATATCCATCAGGTATAATTTCTTCCTCCGGAGCATCTGTATCAAACCAACTTTTCCATCCCTTTTCATTACAGGCTATCTAAATTTATTACATTAACGCACATAAAAATATATTTTCAGATGTAGCATAATTCCCTTGTAAATATATATCTTAATGAGAGTCTATTATTATATTAGGATATATTACATTTAACATTACAAGTCTATAGCATTTAAGACATACGCCATGTGAGTTGTTATTAAGCTGTTACGAACAGAAATTTTAGTACCAAGATGCAGGCTCTTAAGCTAATCAGCTACCCATGGATTCCCCTCCCAAACAAATGCAGCTGCTTAGGAAAAATCAACAATTAGCAGAATGATTCTATAGTACAAGAGAAACATACTGTGATTAATTTATTCCTTCTGATCACAAAGTACGAAGAGGGACAGAAAAATCTGTCCCAGTACAGTCCAGCCAGCCAAAGAATCACAAATTAAAAATAACAGACTCTAGTAAGCTTTTAACTTGAGAAAGAATAAATCTCACTGCAAATACCATCATTATTTAGGCACCTCTTAAAACCCATGACCTAATAGGACAAGAGATACTGTGGATAGAACATAGTGAAAATTGCTATGTAGTTGAGTCTTTAATGCAGTGACTGAGTCAGCTATCACAATATTCTCAGATCACTGGAAAGAGAACAAGGAACACAGTGATACCATCTGTTCTGAAATGCAGTTCTGTATGCCTATTATAAACCAAGCTGCTCTGTCAACTTGATGACTTGGTTTCAAATAGAAGTAGTTTCAGAATAACCTACTCCAAGAATGGACCGGGAGAAGAGTGAGAAACAAACATACAGGGACCTCTTCCAACCACATATTTCCTATAGTGAAACTCAGAGAGATTCATAAACACCATATGTCCTTTTCTGAACTATAATCCAAGTCTGAGAAAAAAACCACAAACAACACACTTTATAAGCAAATAGGTCAATTCTCCACTAACTGACATCAACTTGAGCACATACTAGAAAAGTATGGAGAGCAGGTACCTTCTCAAAGCTAGGCCACAGCCAGAGATAGGTTACTGAGCTAAAGGTACTTTAGATGAATCAGTAAAATCATTAAGCTTTCATTATATATTTCTTTTTACCATCTCTCATCACTCAACCATAGCTGGAAGTAGTAACAGTGTGAAAAGGAACAGGGTCATCTAAATGTTCAAAGAGCAATATGTTTTCATTACATTAAGTTAGGCATCTGGGACTGGAGGACTTAATTTTTAGAGAAGAAAAAAATAGTAACTGGTAAGAAAAAAAAAAATATCCCAGGCAACCTCTTGAGAACTGGGCATACCATTTTCAAGTTAATATGATGAGCCAAATAGAACAGCACATCTAACGGATGCAAATAAATATTAAAAAGATGTTATTTCCATATTTGCATTTTTTATTAATACCCTACCCCTCCCAGACTCACTATCTATTACTAAAATCACCTAATTGTCACTTTTCAACTTCTAAATATATGCCAATTTTAAGTTAGTGCTAAAAGATGAGTTAAAAAAGAAGCCTTTTGGGGTAACATGGTCACGTAAGTACTTTGGAGCCTAAAATTTTGTTTGCCCCAATTCTAGAAAAGTCCTATAACAGATCCATTACCATCTACAAATTAAAAAGAAAATACATAATTCATAACCCCATGGCTAAATTTAAACAATGTTAGCAACTGCATAGTGGCATGCATTTTGGGTTCTGGCGCCCTAACAACCCAGAGTGAAGGCCTAACTAGAATTCCTTCCACTTTATCCTAACTTAGTATCCTGTTTTGATACCTCCAGAAACCAAAACCTAGAGGAAATGGGCTGGTATGTATCCAGATCCTGCCTTGAAACAGAGTTGGGAACCAGCCAGGACCACTTCCAGGTACACCATTTAGATAAAATCTCGGCTACCCTTCAGGGAACTAAATGCCATCACAAAATGGACTTGGCTGACCAACATAACAGTAAGAACTTTGTGTCCTGGCTATCAGCCTGATTAACAAGGAGTGCTTAGGAGGTACAGAAAGATAAATACTTAAAGAATGTTGTAACTATGCTAAAAAAAGAAAAATTTACCAAAGTAAAGAAAATAATTGATAAACATGTCATGAGCTTATGTGCATATAAGTTCATGTATATCTTAATAAAATGAAAAGTATTTTTATAGCTAGCTCATGATATCTGAATAACACGTTAACCTTGGAATGGAAATGAATACTTAAAAACAAGCAGCAAACAATTTACTTGTAAAAAAAACTAAAAAAAAAATCTATCAGACTCAAGACATAAAACATTGTAACTTAAAACCTGAGACTCATAGATTAACTTTCTGAGCCTTTTTGATACCTCTACTTTTTAATTCTTTCTTATTTCTGTCTCTCTCTCACCAACTTTTTAACTAGTTCTTTGCTCCTGTTCTCTTCTCTTTCTACCTCAATGAGTATAATACAAAATACAATAAAGCAGATGGGAAAAAAAAAAGTAGAGGAAATAAATATACCCCTATTTCTGCTACCTTAACTGTTCATTTCTATGCCTTTATTCTGTATTCTCTCTGGCTTTGTTCTTAACTACACCTCTTGTGCATACTAAATGTAAAATATGGGAGCACAATTATGATTGTAAAACTGGTTGTTAACATTAAAAAGATAATTAGTAGATATCACCTGATTCAAAATTTCTGCAAACTGTGGAAGTTTGCTCAATTCCACTAGGTTTAGCCATGTCACGTCAAGAATCCAGTGGAAGGGTTTGGGTGGGCAAGCCTGTAGATCCAATGCTGCACCTCCTGTATATAAAAACATTCCGATGAAATATACATGACATTCCAGGGGTAAAGATATATTTGACATTTCTTTTTAAAGTATGTTTTCCAGCCCATGTAATTTTCACTGGAGTACTAATTGCGCTCTTGTGTACTTAGCATTTATTTCAAAAGATCATAGGATAATTCAGTCTGGAAGGGAACTCAGAAGGTCTCTAGTCCAACCTGTTCAAAGCAGGGTCAGCGATGAGATAAAATTAAGTCTTTATTCTGTCTGGTCTTGAAAACCTCCAAGGACAGAGACTGTACAATCTTTCCAGACAGTATGTTCTAATGTTTGTCTGTCCTCATAACTAAAAAAATTGCCCTTACACCCACTCTGAACCTCCCCCCGCCCCCAGTTTATTTCTGTTGCCTCATCTTCCTACTGTGCACCACTGTGAAGAGCCAGGGTCTATCTTCTTAATGGCCTTCTCATAGGTGTTGGAAGGCTACGGTTAGGTCTTCCCTAAGCCTTCCGTTCAACAAGCTGAACAAGCCCAGTTCTCTCAGCCTCTCATCTTAGATCATGTGCTCCATATAGTTTGTTGTTACAAGTTTATACAATGATACTGACTATATTTGAAGTATGGGAAAATTTTTAATAATCTTTTTTCCTTTTCATCTGTGCTGATAATACAGTAAAGATAATTTTGTATTTATCTGAAAGATAAAAATATTCCTCTGAAGACCTTCCCTTAGGCAGTCTATATTTTATGCCACTATTTCTAAAAAGAAAAGAAATTGAAAAGAAAGTCTTATTTTCTCAACCACAAACTTCTACCTCTTCTCTAATGAAAAGCAAATTTGTAATATCTAAAGAATGTTACACGTGTTAGCAAAGTAATCTCTTGGGATCACTGGGGAAAAAAACCCAAACAAACAAAAAACCAACCCAAACACAACAAGAAAAAAACTCTGGACTGGTGGAATCAATCAACCCTAGACCAGCCTAACAAGCACAAATCATTTTAAATAGCATGTATAAGCCCAGACAGCCACTAGATAATACACGTGTTTCACATCCTCTGACATGCAATTGAAAAGGAAATACAAAGGAACACCTCTGGGATAAGACTGCAATCCTATTTTAAACAGATTAACTTTTTATCATAATTTTCTTCTTGTTGTAGCTGCCTCTTCCTCAGTCCTCCAAAAATTAATTAATGTCACTTCTTTGGGAAACTAGAGGGTGTTGTTCCAGCAGTCTCCAGAACTAAGATCATTTATTCACTTAGGTCACCAGTATAACAAATTTCACCCACCTGTTACAAACAAACTAAAAAATTACCTCAGAATAATAACTATTATTTTTAAGCACTTAAATGTATGTGAGCATGTATGTGTGTGTATACATAGTCTATATATATGAGCTGTAATTATTTCAATACTTCCAAATTATATCTACATGCTTATCAAAAATGACATGCATAAGTATGTATGTAGATCCTTTTCAATTTTAATATTTCATTATTAATACTTTTACAAACTGTGTCTAATTATTCCATAGATTATCAAGAGGTTTTAACACAGAGACCTTTTTTTGTATTCTGTACCCATCTCATCCTCAAATTCTCCATGAATGGAACGTAGAGAGAATTAATCATAAAAGCAAGAAGGAAAACAACAGAAGACAAACTTATCATCAGACTGAAAAGGAGATTAGAATATTAATTTCTTAAATAAAGCACTTTTTTTATTTAAGAAATTATTGGGAAGACATTGTGTATAGTATTTTTGATGCAGCTGAAGAACGAAGACTTACTTTAAAGTTCTGACATGTTATAGGAAAGAGTTTATGGTGCTGCAAATGCTATAATGCAACAAATTTTTTCTGATTTTCTGGAAGTCTGTTCTGCTTACATTATAGACTTTAAAAGGAAAGATTTGATTCTTTGAGATGTTTTCCTGCAGGCTTCCAGGATGCAAGAATTTTATTTATATTATCAGTGATGATTTTCAGGAAACAGCAGCTCTGCTTCTTTTAAAAGAATAAACACATGATTCAGAAAGACTAAATATTTTCCTAGGTACCTGAATATCCTTAAGTAGAAACACAAGAATCACCTTGCTGAATCTGGATGTTAGTATGCCAATAGGAACACTTAACATCAAAAGAAAATAAAAGTTTCAATGAAATGAGTGGGCAGTAAACAGATCTTAGGGAAGTTTTTGCTTTTGGGGAAATATTTAAACCTTATTTTTTTGAGGCAGGCTTATTCAATGAAGAATGAGAATTACAATAGTGTAAACAATGTGTTTCTCATTGCAATACTTTATATTCTTGCTATTAATATATATACCTAATCTTTTGATAAATCCTGCTAAGTTCTTATGGTTAGTCATTTGTTATGTTAATGATTTAAATATACAATGCCTGAAAAAGGCTTTCATTTTATTAGTTTTCATTTTGCCACTCATAGGCATATGTGAAAAGTTCCAGCATCTTGAAAAAAATGTGGAAAGTTTTCCTCCATGTATGGATACCATCACATATAAGCAAGAAACAGAATTAGATATAGAATCAAAGAATCATAGGATGGTTTGAGTTGGAAGCAACCTCAAAAGATCATCTAGTTCCTACCCCCCTGCCATGGGCAGGGATACCCTCCACCAGACCAGGTTGCTCAAAGCCCCATCCGGCCTGGTCTTGAACACTTCCAGGGAGGGGGCATCCACAGCTTTCTGGGCAACCTGTTCCAGTGTCAGAATCACCTCCCTCGACCTGTTGGTCACGCTTCTTTTGATGCAGCCCAGGATACGGTTGGATATGATTAACATATGACTTGAATATTTTCATGAACTACCCAAAGGCCAGTTAAAGGGCAAACTCTTGTTCAAGAATGTGAAGTTCCTATGTACCAATCCAAATTATTTCTGTCATGCAAAAATGTAAAGCTACTTCATCTGCTTTTATTACGAAGTTTTCCTACTGTTGCGCTTTTTCTCCTTCCCTTTACCTCAGGGATGACAAGCTTCAGTAACCTCACAGAAAGAAAGGGCTGCTTCATGAAATCTGAGGTGTAAACACTAATTTTCCTGCATTTCCTGTAACTACTTGTTTAAGCTTCCTTCAAGCACTCTCTTATGTCTTTGGCATTAGCATATACAGTTAGAAATAACTGCCTGGGATCCATGTATGGATCCCAGAACTTCCTCTTAGTTTCTGCAAACTGAAATAATGGAAATCAAAAAGAGGATAACAAAAAGTGTTTACACAAATCTATAATCTGTTATTAGCATTATTATTACAAAATTATACCCTGTTCCAGAATCACATCTTTTGCAAGTTTAATACAATAGGACAACAGGAATATATTTGCAAATTATTGAATTCTGTGCAAGAATCACAGTCACTTTAGCCAAAAAGACTTCTTAATTTTAAGACATAATCATTAATTGCCCACAAAATAGGATACTTGGCAATATTTCTGGCTTTTATTTAAGTCAAAAAAGCCAAAGATGTTTTGCAATTCCTCTGTAATATATTCTCTAATATTTATGGAGCTTCTTAGTAAAATATATTTTCTTCTAGAGAAGATCATATTCTTCACTTGTGCCAGTCCCCCACTATAATTTGGGGACCTGCTTTCTCTGTTTTGCTGACTTAAGGTTACCTTCAAGCTATAGCATTAAAATATTCAGGAAAGGCCTAGTATTTGGCTTTAACGGAATACAGTAAATAGAATGAAATTCAATTTATGTACTTTAGCAGAAGGAAAGATTTAGTGTTGATAATGTCTTGAGACTAGCTGAATAATGAGTTCTAGATACTTTTTTCATTTCAAATAGTAACGCTTATTTCAATGAGACATCCTGTGATAATATGGATGATGATAAGCCATGAAAGCTCTCCTGGAAAAGAAATGGAAAGAATAGGAAGAGAGATTTATTTTTCAAATAAATCCTTTCTTCAGCTGTCTGATGAGGTTTGGTAACATGGCGTTCATTTTGCACCAAGAACTGCTCATCCAAGGAGGAAAATTGAACAACTGTTTCATTGCAGAAGATACCTAAGAGTCCAGGACAATTTGGCTAGGCATCTGCCCGCTTCCCAGTCTGATTTAATATCATGTGAATAATTACAGAAAATCTATTGCTCCTTCAGTGTCATTTTGTACACCCGAAGAATTTCTCACTATTAAATCAACTGCGGTACAGTTAGGCAGGAAACTGCAATTATATGTACTAGACAAAAATTGCTAAAAGTACTCCTGTATTTTATTACAGATTCTCATCAGTTAAAAAGGGGTAAGTGACTACTTTCTGCTTCAGATGCCCAAGGTGTATAAGTATATTTTCCTCTGGCAAAACAAGAATCCATGAGCTGAGAAGCCAAGAAATATGGTTCCTTGTCTAATGCTTTACTAAAGCAAATAGTTCCTTTTGAAAGCATTTCCAAGCATGCCCTGCCTGACATCAGTGGTAAATTGGTAGCTGGATACCATTGTCAAAGGATAAAATCATTATAACAAACTGGAAAGCAAAACAAAATGTGATTTTAATCTTGTTTCCTATCTGGTTTATTCATTAAAGGTAGATCATGACCTTTAAATCTAGGTTCACTACTTTGACATAGACCTTTGCAAGATTCATTTGAACACTGTAGAATTCAAACAGGGTTAATGTGGACTTCTGCATAAGCAATCCTGATCACTTTTTTCAGCAGAGGCTCAAATTCACAGAGTACAGAGGAGGCAGACCTGGCCAATTGGGCCACAGAAACATGTTATGTTCTCTAAAAGTCAGTGTTAGCTGTTTGGCAAAAGTCAGAGAAAGCTCAAGCTGAAACTGATAAAAGACTGTAGCACCTCCTGCACCTTATGCAGAGTTGTTCTGGCAACTTAGAAGATAGATTTATTCGGCTCCATCAAAGCAGAGAAGCAAAGGAGCAAGAAGTCACCTAATTTATAAAAATAAGGATACAAATATAATACAAAAATATACAATTATGAAACCAATTGATGGAGAGAAGCTGAACCATCATCTTGATCTCAGGATAGAACACAGCCTGGGTAAATGGTGGAGGTAGAACTGTGATGGGAAACTCACCTAACTTCACTGGACCACAGCAGGGATAAGGACAGAGGCAGCTCCACAGAACTGCATGGTAGAAACCATGCAGCCAAAAAACATACTTTGTAATGGTATAAAAGTTTAAAAAGTTGAAATTAGCTCTACATATAGCACAATTTTTTAAACTTACCTCTAATGAGTGCATGGAACTCTCTGTTTTTCACGTGTCCTCTCTCAAGATCAATTTTTAATGTCAGCAGGAGGATAAAGAGGAATTTGTGGTTTTCATACAAGCCTCTAATAGAATATGAGTAAGTTTCAAAGGTAAGATACTCAATAATATTCGAAATTCTTTTCTGAGGTAAAGGAGACTTCTTGGATCTGAATCATGAAAACAAAGCACAAAGAAAGCATGTTAATAACAGCAAATACACTGGAAAGACAAACATCTGAATAGTAGAAAAATCTGTGTCTTCCTACTTGGTCATGGATTGATCAAATAACTTCAAGAACTGAGCCAGTGAAGTTTGATACATATTATTGACTATGCTCATTTCTGTAATAAGAAAATAAAGAATGCTTCCACGTGTAGCAGCAGGTCGATATTCCTCCTGAGCAGTGTTAATCTTCACTTCAGTTTGTGCTGCCACAGACAACTTTTCAGCTACTTCAGCAGCTGTTTGCTTTGTTGTTTGCAGAACACCAATCAAGGATTCATCATCTACTAGTGAACCTAAAAAGTTAAATATTGGATGTTTAGGACATTTTTATAATTATTTTTTCAATTCATACATGTAAAAATTGAAAGGCCAAACTACAGGAATTAGTTATAACAAATGGAAATGATTCACTGAATTGCAGAAAGCTTTGAAAATTCTTTCAACACCATTTATGGTAGACCATTAGACTTTGCATTTTCAGTGAGTTAAGGATTTGCCCATGATCAGATACCTTATCTCATTTGAGGGGCAGAAAGCTCTCAAGAAATTGGTTTGTTTCACAAAATTTGTTTAGGTGTTAAAAATACTTAGTGTCTAGGGTTGTATATAGTGGCACGCTATAGTACCAACTCCCTCACACACCGGTAAATGATCAGACTTCAAATGTCTACCATGAGATGTCCTCTTATTGTATCTTGGATGGATAAATCAATTTCTGTATGGAAATGTTTGAATGTGAATCAGCTTAATCTGCCTTATCTGCTTAATCCTGGTCTTCTACACTTTGATACAGAACCTCTGGTTGCACTTAGTTTGTACAGAAGATTGTCTTCCAGTTCTTTCATCTTTCTCTTATTAAAAGTTACATCTTCCATGAGTTTAATTTGTTCTGCTTCTAGTTCCTATTAAAAAAAACCCCAAAACCCAAGAAAATGTCATGACACTTTATGGACTGTAACTATAAGTCGTACTTAAAATTTAGTTGCTGATTTTTCAAGTTCATGAAATGTGCATTTTCCTTGTTCAGGTACCTAAAATGTGTTTTTATAACATCTTTTTTTTTTTTTTTTTTTTAGCAGTATTTATTCAGTATCTTATGAAGTATCTTATCAATGCCAAATGCTTCCGCTTAATTGTTTGCATCATACTGACAGCCATACACAGAAGATCCTCTAGGTGTATTTTTATTATTTAGAAATTTCTATACTGAATATAATTTTAGAAAATGGCTGATGTCTCTTTTCCATTTGAACGTTTTGCCCTACAATACTAAAAACAGCTAAATAAATAATAATAAAACATAGCTATGGTTTGTGTGTACTGTTAGTTTACCTGTTTTTCAGTAAGAATTACTCTTCTCAGTAACTGATTCTCAAGTCCTTTCATTGTAACAGTGAAATCAATAATTGATGTTTTTGCATTAATTTCAGGTGTGAAAGCAGGATTGGGTAGCTTCGTAGTAATGTACAGTCTAAATGAACTCATAACATCTACTTCCTTATCACCAACTTTCACCTGTGGAGTAAGTTAGAATAGTATTAAGCAGAGGAAAATTATCTTTGTTTGACTCAATAGTATTGACCAGAAAAAAAATTTCAGTATTTGAGAAACCAAAGAGAGGAAGTTTATTTCACAATTCAAATTTGTCATGAAAATAACAATTGATGATGAAAGGTAGTAGTTAGGGTACATTATAAAAGTAGCATTGCCCTCCAGGTAAATATAGGGGTTTCTTCCACTGCAGATTCTAATTATTGGCTTCATAACCATTTGGTTTATGTTTTGTGCTTCTAATCACATCTCACATGAAAATGGTAGAAACTACTGACCTTTGGAGAATTCATTGTTCTCTTATGTTCAGGGGAAAAAAAAAAATTGATCTAACAATGGAACATAAATTATTGGAAATTAATTATATATATTTTTAAAGACTAAGTGGATCTTAACCTTTCTAAAAGAATTATAAATTTATTCCATTTTCCACAGAAATTTTTACAGAAGTTAAGATATTCCATATCTGCAGTCTAACTTGAAAGCTGCATGTGCACAAGGAAATCTGATCACTGTGTATGACCCTCCAAGGCCACTTCAAATACCTTGCTCATGAAGGAGTAGAACCAAAGCACTTCCTTAAGCATATTGTTTGCTCTGACGTTCAAAGTAAAACTACTCCACAAAAATAGCAATAATTTTCTTTTCATTATCACCGAAAATCTGGTCTACAATCTCACTCCTGTCCCAACCAGGTAATTAAGATTATCCGAGAAAAATACATATGGAAATATAAAGCATGTGCAATCCTTTTAATTCAGGATGTTTGAAGTGAGGTTGTTTTTGAAATTTGGGAGTGATTTCTTTATGTAATGAAGGTCAGAAAGACTCATGATTTTTCAAGGTTGAGAATATACTTGATATTATTAATAAAACTTTGTGCTTTTTGGCTTGTTCCATCAGAAAACAGTTTTCCAGATTAAAGATTCTGCAGTTGCTACAATCAGCACTCCACACTTGCAAGAAAGAAATCTTTTCATTCTGTTAAAGGGTGTAAAATGAAATTGCTTGAAAATCAATAGAAAGTACTGTAAGCATTCAATAGGACAAACACAACTGTTTCCAGTTCGAAATCTTCAGTAGTAACTTCAGTAAACTCAAATTTTAGACTCATGACCTTACTGCTCAGCTGAGGCTCTGTCTCCTATATATTATTAGTACAGTTTGATTCTTCACACTACCCTACTGAATAAAAAGTTTACATAATTCAGTGGAGGTTTAGAATAAAAGGGTAAAATATCATTCTAGCTACTTATTCCAGGTCTTTTGTTTGATTACTAACCTTAAAAGATGTTCCAGATTTCATGAAATTCTTTTCTAATATATTATCAAGGACTGGATCCAACTCTTCACCTATATCTTCAATCACAAGTGATCGTCCCAGTGAAAGACTGTCTTCTAGGTGTGTACGGAAATACTTGTCATTCAAAGTTGTTACCTCAAAAAGTAAATTATAAATTGATATAAGGACAAAAAGTTTTCTTTAAAGTCTTACAGGAAAATCACAGATCTAACTATGACATTTTTTCATTGTTTTTGTTAGTTGTATTTTAAAGAAAAATAAATGTTGACCATGCAGCAATTTATGCAGAAATACTTGTGTATACAATGAAAAGTATCATAAAAAGGTGAATTAAAAGATTAGCTGCAATGGAATTCACAGAACTTCATTATGAGAGCAATAATGTACCAAGTAAAACTTGTACAGCTTATTGGAAATTGAAGATGTTAGATTTTTGAAATCAGAGATGCCTAAGTTTTAATTTTCTATTCTACATCCTGAGGACTAGATTTTCTAATTTTAGCTTTCAAGTGTTGAGAAATTCTTTCTGGAAACCTGAACTCACTCTAATGAATGAATTGCTGTTACAATATTATGAACTCAGATATTTGAAATATCATTAAATGGGATTCATAATATATGAAATCATTAAAAGACATGAATAAATAAATAAAACACTACTTTTGTATTGCTTTCTAGATTTGTATTTTCAGAAAGTTCTCATATTATTTTCAAGATTTTCTCTACAAGTGTAAAATAGGGCCATTCTACTGGAAAACAGCTTTGCAGAAAAGGACCTTGGGGTCGGGCTAGCCAAGAAGTTGAGCATGAGCCAGCAATCTGCCTTTGCAGCAAAGGCCAACAGCGTTCTGGGCTGCATTAGGAAAAACATTATCAGCAGGTTGAGGAAGGTGATCCTTCCCTTCTGCTCAGTACTTGAGACATATCTGGAGGATGGTTGAACACTAAAACAGGTTGCCCAGAGAGGTGGTGAAGTCTCCATCCTTGGAGGTATTCAAAATCCAACTGGACTGTCCAGTCCTAGGCAATCTGCTTTAGTAGATCCTGCTCTGAACAGGGAGGCTGGACTAGATGATCTTCAGAGATCCCTTCCAACCTCAACTTTTCTGTGGTTCTGACAGTTTCTTTTATTAACAATAAAATCATAAGCAAGAACTTCACATTCACTTTAATCCAAGACTTAAAATCTTCAAAATCTAGAGATCCTAACCCCCTCCCAAATTTACTAAGATTCAGGAGGATATGTGAGATTTTGCAATATTCAGGTTAAGGGGTTTAAAATGCAGGTTCCTTTTCCCATGCTACTTCATTTGTGAAAAATTCATTTGTGATGCAAACTACAGGTGACACATGAACGTCTTTGTATTATATTTCATGAGCTGACATTTAACTCTATTGGCTTAAAGCTATAAAAGAACTATTAAAATCGCAGTAACACTAGCATAGACAGATTTGTCCTGAGTTTGATTTCAACTGGTTGTCCTCAGTTTACTTTTATAGCAGCAACTTCATGTGTGAATTCCATCTTGGGTTCTAAATTCTGGACTGCATCAGTTTAAGTACTTTGCCTACATCTGCAAAGCTGTAGGTTACTCTGCCTTTGCATGTAATCTTACTAATAGTAGCCCAATTTACTGTCATTTAATAATGTCATACTATACTCTTTTGCTATACTTTTCACCACTTTGCCCTCTGTATAGGGAACATAGTCACCAATTTTGAACACAAGGCTACCTCTTTCTCTTTCATACTTCTTGCTAGGTTTCACACCAATATTTACTTACTATACAATCTTTTCCAAGTCCTTGAATGGGATTTACAGCACTTGTCAAGTTCCCTGCTGATGCATCTACATTGTCAGTATCCATACGAGTTAAAGTTATCTCAGATACGTATGTATGAGAGGTATACTGACTCAAATGCAGACACACCCTAAAGCAATAATGTTTGAAGGAATATAATACCGCACATTATTCCTTTAAAACACTGTTCACCTGTAATTCATTATCCTGTTGTTTCTTTTTAATCCATGATTTTCCTTGAGTTTGTGGGTCTACCAAAAGAGGGTATCTAGTTGCTTTAGTGACAATGATACCATTCTGAATTGAGAAATCATCTCCAGGCAGTCCTTGAAGATTCCACTCACTAATCTGAAGAGGGGAAAGAAAAAAAAAAAAAAAAAGAAAAAAAAAAAAGGGTTGGAATAAAATCTCACTGAAATTATCCTGCAATTATGAGTGTTCTAAGAAATAATGGGGACATCAACCCTAAGGGTATGTATATTTGAACCTGTTGAAAAGTGATTAATGCAGATGGAAAAATATTTCCAGAATTTTATTTTTATGGATTTTTTTTACTATATAGAATGATTTAAAAAATATATTTTAAATGTGTAAATCAAAAGGCAACTTGACAGCCAAATTAAACATTGGGATCAATTAAGAGAAAAGTAGGCTAAGAGAGCTTTTGGGGTTTAATATCTACTGAAGGAAACTTGAAGATTCTGGCAGTCCTCTGGTTTCTCACATATTCACATCGAATGAAAACATTTTATACATTCTTTTTCAAATGTTCAAAATTTATTTTTGAAACTAGACCCAGATAATATTGACAGAGCTAAAAACTAACAACCAAACCCACTGTTTTAGTAGATACGTGATCTATAGCTGTGGTGATGGGTTATCAAAATATATACTTGAAAGTACACCATCTTGCTGGCAATTGTCTAATTGTATAATATGTCACTTGTTTATAATATATAACTTGTTTATCTATCTAAACATTGCTCAGTACTCAGATGTTTAGTGGAAATTACCAAGAACATTTGGCAACCACAGAACTACACTGCACAGCAATATCAGGGACTGGAGTTCTGTTCTAAGCAAGCGTAATGCTGGCTAACATTCAAAGAATATGTTAATTGAAATTGAAATGAAACACACAAAGCACCAAGAACTTACTGTTGGTGGATCTACCAACATAGAAATCAGGTTCAAGTTTTCAGAAAAGGGGATTTTATGGGCTCTTATCTCTGCTTCCCATAAATCTTTAAGCAAAAGCTTCCTGAAGTTTTGGTTAAAAGGTCCACAGTATGAAAGAAAACCTGTGCAAAGCAGTACATCTCCCACAAGTCTAGAAAAGGAACAAAAACATAATTAAAAGGGGGTGTACAGTTTCAATTTCTTATGTTTCAAAAGCTGGTTGTCTAAATCAATAGATTTCTGTTCTGAGGAGAATTTAAGGAGAGAACTGTAACTCTTTGAGAAAAACAAATAGTTTCTTTGTGTTTCCAAAATATTTTTGTGGCAAAACTTGAGTAGTATCATATGAAAACATTATCTTCACTTCTAGAAAGTAATAAAGCCCTGATGACAACTACTCCTCCTTTAATAACTGAAGTAAGAAATTAGTTTATTTCTTAAAAATATGTCTGTAGTATAATATTTAGCAAAAGATGCAAACTTAATTCTCTTGGAATGAGCAAACCTCACCAGAAATGCCTAATTTCCCCATAGGAAATTTATGGAAACAGAAACATTCCACAGAAGTTGAGCCTTAAACTTTCAGACTCTTTACATTTAGCAACCATTTTGACAAATTTCCTGTTTTCTAGACAGCTAGAATCTCTGGCTCCTAGGCTGCTGAACATTTTGTCATTTGGACAGCAACACAACGGGGACTCCCAGGTTACCCAAGCTTCTCAGAATAAGTCCAACTGTCCACATGTGTTTCAACACACAGACTGTAGGACAAGGGTTACTGTCTGGTCTCTAGGCCTCCTCCTTTTATTCAAATATGCCATAACAAATATCAAAAGGGATGCTTCTTTTTCTATCCAGTATTAGGCCAGGAATCTTTCCATTTTGCTTCTCATTGTCAGCCTTACATCATATCTGTCTCCTGTGTATTGGAACAAGATGTAGTGGTAGGGGGTCAGGAGAGGCAGCTGTAATACAGGCACATAACTGCACTAGAAATAATCACTTTGGAAATAAATTCCAAAATGGGAAGTATTGTTTGACCTGAAATACAAGCACTCAGGTATTATGGCAGAAGAATTCATATTTCAGCATAGTTTACTTAATCGTGTAACTATATTAAGATTTTCAGGAGCAAAATGAAGTACAACTATTAAAGCTACTAAATTGCATACTAGCTCTTCAGTTTTTATATGTATTTTGTGGTTTTGGTTTTTTTTCTCTGATGAATTTGATACCTGTTAATCTGAGATTTAAATTCTTTACTTTGCTGAGTCCACCTAACTTTCTCACCACTCAGTCCATCTATAAGCGCAGAGGCTGCTTGCATCTTTCTTCTGCATGTTTCTGTATCATTCAGTAAGTCCTAAAATCAAAAAAATGTCCTATTTAATCTAATAATAGAATGCAAAACTATAAAGAGTTATTTTATATATTTTTTCATCATTTTATATTATGACTATTTTATTTCTCATTCTTGAGAACTTGAAGTACATATATTATCTAGTATGTTCCTATTCACAGAAAGAAGGCAATATGAGAGAACATAGATTAATATCTCTTATTTTTATACCTGAACCTCATCCATGTCATTTAAGGTAGCACGCCCTAACTGCGTGTTTATATCGACTCCTGATACATAATGGTATTGTATGCAAGCATTTTTCATAATACTAAAATACTTTTAGCTCACCATTTTCTCCTTCATTGCTGCATCAAACTTTGCCTGCACTTTATCCAGTTCAGCTTGCTTTTCATCTAATGCCTCCTGAGCCTTTGCTAATTCTGCATTAGCTATTTTCAGGTGGCCTTCCTGTTTTGCCAAGTTAGTCTGCAAAGTGAAGAAATATTAAAACAATAATCATACAAGATTTGAATATACTTTAATGAATTATTTTAAGCCTGCTTAGTTGGTAATCATGAGACAATAATACATCAACATAACTTTTATATTAATATTTACATAAACATTAAAATATTTAATCTGAAAACTGTCACATATATTTTGCAGATATTATTTTTTGTTAAATAATAATGTAGATTAATTCCTACATTCAAGGTTCCTACTATATACTGTCAACTTTATTTCTTTTAAAAAAACTTACATTTAAAGAAGCTGGTTAAGAAAGTAAGGTTTCTGATCTATATATATTGATTACCCGAGAGGAATAATCACTCAGTATTCTTGCTTGATTACATGCTTTATTATCTCTTTTTTTATGTGTACATTCTGTAGCAATCAACAATCACAACAATAGGACGTTGGTCTTTTATCAGATAACAATATAGCTTTTACAGACTAGAAAACCATAGTCCTAAAACAGTGAATCTTCCCATTGCTCCTAAACTGATACTTATGCTGAACAGAGAAAATTCATTAATTTTTTTGAATCATCCACCTGCCTTACTATTGATTTTGTAAACAACACTTCTACCAGTGATAAAACATGCAGAAAAGATTTGGAACTGCCATTCAGATGCTTGCCCCTTTTACTTTTGTTTTTTTTTTTTTTAAACAAAACTAAAACACACACCCCCAAAAAAAGCCAACCAACCAAACAAACAAAAAAACCCAAACCAAACCAAAACTGTGATACATGTAGGGATTAAATACTTGTTTTAGACTCCAAAAAGCAACTATCACTGCAGTTGAGTTTCTATATGGTCTTTACCTCTGATAAAATTTTTCATTCAAATGTTCAAAAATGTCAAAAAGACCACCCACAGTAAAGTAAAAATGACTCTTAAAAATGTTTTACTCAGTTTGGTTCCCACTACTGCAACATAAATCCTTTATTGATGCGAGCGCTGAAACTCTTCAGAGTGCAATATTTGGGCAAGATATCAGTCCTCCACTCCAAGATATAGCGTGAAAGCAAAGAAGGTGTCCAAGTGGAGAACAGTGATGAGTGGCGT